TTCATGAGGGGAGGGAGTGGTCCACGAGGGGAGAGGAAGTGGTTCCACGTGAGGGAGAGGGAGGGTCTACGTGAGGGGAGAGGAGTGGTCCACGTGAGGGTGAGGGAGTGGATCACGTGAGGGGAGAGGGAGGGCCGAGGGGAGAGGGAGGTTCACGTGGGAGAGGGAGGGTTCACGTGAGGGGAGAGGGAGGGTTCACGGGAGGGGAGAGGGAGTGGTTCACGTGAGGAGAGGAGTGGTTCACGTGAGGAGAGTGGTTCGCGTGAGGGAGAGGCAGTGGTTCACGTGAGGGAGAGGAAGTGGTTCACGTGAGGGGAGAGGGAGTGTTCACGTGAGGGAGGAGTGGTTCACGTGTGTGTGGAGAGGGAGTGGTTCACGTGAGGGAGAGGGGAGGTGGTTTACGTGAGGGAGAGAATGGTTCGCGTGAGGGGAGAGGAAGTGGTTCACGTGTGTGGAGAGGAGTGGTTCACTTGAGGGAGAGTGGTTCGCGTGAGGAGGCAGTGGTTCACGTGAGGAGAGGAAGTGGTTCACGTGAGGGAAGTGGATTCACGGGAGGGAGAGTGGTTCCACGTGAGGGGGGGAGAGTGGTTCACGTGAGGGAGAGAGTGTCTCACGTGAGGGAGAGGGAGTGGTTCACGTGAGGGGGAGAGGGAGTGGTTCACGTGAGGGGGAGGGGAGTGGTTCACGTAAGGGGAGAGGGAGTGGTTCACGTGTGTGGAGGGAGTGGTTCACGTGAGGGGAGGGAGTGGTTCACGTGAGGGAGAGGGAGTGGTTCATGTGAGGGAGAAGTGGTTCACGTGAGGGAGGGAGTGGTTCACGTGAGGGGAGAGAAGGGTGGTTCACGGGAGGGAGGGAGGTGGTTCACGTGGTGGAGAGGGAGTGGTTCACGTGAGGGGAGAGAGTGGTTCACGTGAGGGGGAGAGAGTGGTTCACGTGAGAGGGAGAGGAAGTGGTTCACGGGAGGGAGAGGGTGGTTCACGTGAGGGAAGAGTGGTTCACTTGAGGGAGAGAGGAGTGGTTCACGTGAGGGGAGAGAAGTGGTTCACGGGATGGGAGAGGAAGTGGTTCACGGGAGGGAGAGGAGTGGTTCACGTAGGGGAGAGGGAGTGGTTCACGGGAGGGAGAAGGTGGTTCACGTGAGAGAGTGGTTCACAGGAGGGAGAAGTGGTTCACGTGAGGGGAGAGGAGTGTTTACGTGAGGGGAGAGGGAGTGGTTCACGTGGAGGGGAGAGGAGTGGTTCACGTGAGGGAGAGGAGTGGGTATGTTTCAAGTGCTGGAGGAGGGAGGGAGAGGGAGGAAAGGAGAGGGGGAAGAGACTGTACCAGGTGAGGAGGAGTGTCCCAAGTGAGGGAAGGAAGGCAGAGAGAGGAGGGAGAGAGCAATGGCAGGGCGCTGTAGAAGGATGTTGTTGTTGTAACGTTATTACTGCGGCGCTTCAACAACCAACTAAGGTCTTTAATTGCGTAACAAATTTAATAATTACACTATTTTAACAACATTAAAAAATATGAGAGATAAAATTTTCGACCAGTGTGTGTGTGTGTAAATAATAATAATAATAATAATAATAATAATAATAATAATATAATAATAATATATAATAATAATAATAATAATAATAATAATAATAATAATAAACGGTTTTAATAATAGAGTTGCAGCCGGTGGCTGAAAATATACAGACTTACATTTGATTTAGACATGATATAATATGCACTGAATACATTTACAGGGCTGTACAGTATAAATCAGGAGTTGTTTATTATTTTAACAATAGATGGGATGGTGCTGTTCTTATATCTATCGGTGCGCCTATGGGCTGAATTTTTTGTAGTGGCGGACTGCGCGAGTTGGGTGGGGGCTGCAGGTGGCAGGAGGTGGCGATGACGAGGGTGGTGTAGTAGTCCACTGCCAAACCTTCCAGTGCTTGGTGGTGGAGGTCACTGAGGATGGCATTTCCAGGGTGGAAGGCGTTGGTGTAGCCGGAGTATTCTGCGCCGAGCATGATTCTGCAGGCCCTTTTGTGCCTTCTGTAGCTGACGTTGTTGGGTGGAGTTGAGAGAGAGACGACCAGGCCACTTTAGTTTGGGGAATAAAGCGTTGTAGATAGTCCTCAGCTCTGGCGTGGGTGTCCCAAGTGACCTAAGTCGTCGTAGCATGTAGAGAGACGATGCAGGCTGCCTTGACTGTGTTATTTACATGGGCCTTCCAGTCAAGTTTGTTGTCTATAGTTACACCGGAGGTTTGCAGACTGCACCAGCTGGAAAGGATGGGGACCCACTGTGACTGCTGGAGCTTGCACTGGGTGGTGGCGGTATTGATGTGCATGACTACGGTTTTGGTGTGGTTGATGGTGACCCTTGTTCTCGTAGTCCATGCCTGTAGCCTGTCAGGTGCCTTGTAGCGATGAGTAGTCTGGTGCGGTGTTGTTCAGAACCCCCACAGTGCAGTCATCCGTACCTCCACCTCTGAGGTGTCAGATAGAGCGTCGTTGATCAGGATGAGCACAGTGGTCCCATCTTGGTCCCCTGGGGAACACCGCAGGTGAGGTGTTGGAATGTGGAGACCAAGCCCTAATACTGCCTGGCGACCCCACTCAAAAATCAGTGAGCCATGAGACCAGGTTGGTGGGCAGCCCTAGTGCAATAGCCTTGTTGATAACAGTGCAGTGATCAACAGGTCAAGGCCTCCTGAAGTCCACAAGGGCAACGGCCAGTGATTTCTTACGTTTCTGCAAGTTTTTGTGCAGAAAATCCAGAAAGCTCACCAAGCAGTGTGATGTAGAGGAGGTCCTCATATTGCCAAATTGCTGTGGATCAATTGACTGATAGATACTGGCAAATGCCTACTCAAAAACAAAGTCCTGTGTGTGCATGTGTGTGTGTGTGTGTGTGTGTGTGTGTGTGTGTGTGTGCCTTTTTTCGGTAGTATTTCACTTGTTGGCACTAAACGATTTTTTGTTTTCAATGTCATTTCTGGCGCAAATTATGTTTAAGCGAGATATTTAATATTTTATTATGTATGTCCGTGCGTGGCGGCGGTACATCTAGAACATCTAACGTCTGTGGGCCGGGTAGGTTAGGTTTGATTCATAGTTGTTTTTCCGATGGTTTTTGATGTGTTTTAAACACTTTTTACCTTGATTCTTACAGCAATTCTCTAGATTCTGAGATCGGGGGGGGGGGCTTGTCTCGAAAACACTGATTGGTGCCGGAAATGAAGGTCAAAATCGTTCATAAAATCAAAAACCATCAGCAAAAAACATATTTCAACTTCGATTTCGTATAGTGACAACAAGTAAAAGTTTACCTTTTTTTCTTGATAGCAACACTGTACGATGCCCCACCAACCACGTCAGCAGGAACTACACACAGACACAGATGGTTGAGAGCAGCGCTGTTTTATTGGTATAAGATGTGTCAGCAGCTGAGTCAAGCGATGCCACATCACACAAGGCACACACCAGGGGCAGTAGACCTCACCTCTGAGACACACTTCCACTACCAGGAAACTCTTACTGTACGAAATATTACTTAGGTCTCCGGGATACACGTGACTCTGGGACTACAATACTGAAGCTGCAGGTATAAACATCAGAGAGAGACAGGAGAGGGTGCAGGAGATTCAACAGGGTTACACAGTACAATGATACAGTATATCTTGCAAGGGAAGACTCATCTCCTAAGTCACATTTTCTTCAACAAATAAACTAACTCCACTACCCTTTCTTCTTCTTCTTTCCTCAACTGTCTGTATCTGTCTATAAGTTTATCAACATAACGCAACACCTGATCAGTCTTTCTGGTGAGGTCATGTTGTGACGTCTCTGTGGTAATCCTTCGTTGAGGTGTTGTGAGCGCTGGAGACATGTCGACGTTTCATTCTCTCTCTCTCTCTCTCTCTCTCTCTCTCTCTCTCTCTCTCTCTCTCTCTCCTTCACTCTCTCTCTCTCTCTCTTCTTCTACTTTTTTAAACTATTATTCCATTTACGAGTCTAATGATCTCTTGACTACAGTACTTCTTGAGGTAAATCAGATGACACACCGGTAGTGTATGACTCAAATGCCCGGGCAGCGTGGTGACGCTACCCCAAGACAACATGGTGTCGTAATGTACACAACACACACACACACACACATAAACACATAGACACACACAAGGGAGCTGTCCTAGACACAACAACGGGGTAATGATCGTGAAAGTTCTTGCCTCCCTGAGAAGACTGGATAACGGGGTGATCACCTGAACATTAGCACCCCAGCTTATTTCTCCTGATGCTTAAACACCCTAACACTAACTGAAAGGGGGGGGGTGGTTAGGTTGGAATTAGGTAAAGAGTTTGTGAGCTGTATTTAACTACCCCTATAGACGCCTTTTCTGAACCGACTGAAATTATCCTACCCGCTTGAGGATGACCACTGGTGCTTCACCACCACCTGGCCTCACCCTCCTCGCCTTTACACCGCTGGGGGAGGCAACACATCACCCGTTATGCTTAAAGGATCAACACACAAACAGGGAGACCGTACGAGCTCACCTTAAGTTATTTTCCTTACATTTTAACAACTCCGTCCCCGCCGTGCAGATAACCACATCCCACCTTTGTTTTACGGGTCAATATCCTATACAGCAAAAGAGAAGTGTGGCCTTTAAGAGCGGATTTAAATGTTCTATTGTTGTAGTGACGTGACCTTCCGGGGGTCCCTGGCGGGTGGTGAGCCACATGCCGCCGCTGTCTGGGAATCTCGCCCCTAACGCCGACTGTACACAAGGCTGACACTCCCCTGCAGGTCGGCCGCCTCACACTGTGCATGTAATCACCATTGTTGTACAGTAGTGTTATTATTCCCTCCACGGCCCTCGCTTACCTAGCTAAGTCCTGTCTGTAGCCAGCTGTCTGTCTGGCTGTCTGCTTCACTAATAGGTTCCCCCCCCCTCTCTCACCTGTACACTTCCCCTTCATCACACACTGTCTACATATTCACTAACTACGATACCTTTAATGTCCACCTGTCCCTCCACCGCCTACCACATATGGGCCGTACCACCTGTCCCGTACCACCCGTCCGCACCCATGGCCCGTGCCACCTGTCCCACCACCGTCCCGTACCACATGGGCCCGTGCCACCTGTCCCGTACCACATGGTTCCGTGCCACTTGCCCCCTGCCCACCTGTCCCGTGCCACTTGCCCCTCTTAGCCACCTGTCCCGTGCCACCTGCCTCTTGCCACATGGTTCGTGCCACTGCCCCTCTTACCACCTGTCGTGCCACTTGCCCCTCTTGCCACCTGTCCCGTGCCACCTGCCCTCTTGCCACCTGTCCCGTGCCACTTGCCCTCTTGCCACCTGTCCCGTGCCACTTGCCCCTCTTGCACATGCCGTGCCCTTGCCCTCTTGCACCTGTCCCGTGCCACTTGCCCTCTTGCCTCCCCTGACCCATTGATCTCTCCAGCCACAACCTCATCTCAACAGTGAAAGAGGGGATGGGGTGAGGTGAAAGGAAGGAGGGGGAAGAAGAGGAGGAAGGAGGAGGAGGAGGAGGAGGAGTGGAGGAAGGAAGAGAAGGGGGAGGAAGAAGGGGTGAGAGTGGGCAGAGGCGAGGAAGATGGGGGTTGAGAGAGGGGAGGTAAGAGGGGGCAAACGAGGGAGAGGAGGATTGAAGGGGTGAGAGAAGGAAACATCAGAATAGGACGCAAATGAGGTGTTGTGAATAAGAGATGAGAAGAAGAAGAAGAAAGAAGAAGAAGAAGAAGAAGAAGAAGAAAGAAGAAGAAGATACACGAGGGAAAAGAAAGATAATTTATATATTCGTGAATGTGTGTTTCTATTCTCCACACACACACACACACACACACACACACACACACACACACACACACACACCACATTAAACTTTTACACTACACGTTCCAAACCTTGACAATATACAAACCTTAGCGTCTCAGAATAAAATACTTCACACTTTATGGTACAATATAGCCAATATGTTACTAAGTTGTTGCTGACATACTCTCAAGGTCCAACTCCTCAGAGGTACAACTTGATTAGATTATTTATTGATTTATCGGAAGTGAAGATGTACACAATATATATATCTTACAGGTTGACTCGAGATAAAATATTATAAAAATATTTAAGAATAACATTAAACTTTATATCAAGATTCTTATTTAGAAATTGACTTACGAGCAAAGGAAAGATAGAGTATATTTTTCTAGGAGTTCTTTAACATTCGTCTTATCTTCAGAATTGATGTTAAAGTCAACGAGGAATATATGTTTTTTTTTTTTTTACACATCAAAATGTTGAAGGCCATTTTGTGTTGTGTTTTAGCTCGTCACTTACCAGGAACATTCATCCATTGCTCTATCACATCTCACAAGGTCATTCCTAACACTCTGAGACCATCGTATTCAAGAACAGTCATGGGGTGTACGACGCCATTTACGATGACCTTCTTGCCCTGATCTTGTTTCAGTTATACCACCCTTTTGAAGCTCTGGAGAGATCTCGAAGTTTCGATATTTTGAGTACAGCACTAGCTAATAATTCCCACCAGGAAACTTGCTTCGAGACTCCTCCAAAGCTTCGAAAAGTGCAGAGTTCCATGTGTTAAAGGCGATATTGCTGTAAAAAGATCAAGGCAAGAAGGTCATAGTAATTGGCGTCGTAAACCCCATAACTGTTCTTGAAGACCAAACACTGTAAATAAAATATACAGGAACACAAGGCAGGTGTGGTAATGGAGAGAGATACGACAGTTGTGTTTTTATTATTCTGTCTATCGAGGGTGTCGTCTTCAAGGTCTGCTGGGGTTTGGCTACCACGGCCCACCAGTACTGAAGTTTTCCAGTTGATTTTGACAGAAAGGTAAGGTGATGGTTTACATCTTACACACACACACACACACACACACACACACACACACACACACACACACACACACACACACACACACACACACACACACACACACAAAACCATCATCACACTCATCCTCTGAAACACCTCACTAACACATCCAAACACCAGGCAAAAACACCCAAACACTCAACACACACCCAAACACCTCATAAACACACCAAACACCTGACAAACAGTAAACACTTGACAAACACTAAACACCTGACAAACAAAAAACACCTGACAAGCACTAAACACCTGACAAACACTAAACACCTGACAAACACACCCAAACACCCAACACACACCCAAACACCTCATAAACACACCCAAACACCTGACAAACACCAAAACACAGAAGGTAAGCCGTAATTATCATCAGTCACATGCTTGTTATACGTGATGTGGGCTGACTCACCGTATACAACCTGTTTACTACCATGTGTGTGCTTCATACCTTTACTACTACTACTGCTACTACTACTACTACTACTACTACTACTACTACTACTATTACTATTTTTTTTAAATACGTGGCCTCCAGCCTCCCCCAATAGCAACATCTTCGCCGCCATTTTATTACCTTTATATTAAATACTACGACTAATACTACTACTAATACTACTACTACTACTACTACTACTAATTATCATGTGGAATAAACTAAGGTGCCTATTGTTCACGTGATCCAATAGGTCTAGAACAAACATTCATTTAACTACTTTTATAATAGGTACAGTGTATAGAGAAGACCCAGAGGGATAATGGAGAGTCTTGAAGCTTCATGACAAACGGTAGTTAGTGACACCGATAAGTCAACAAACACAAAGTGAGTTTTTGTTTTATTACGCGTCGCTACTGTACAGAGTCGATAAATGCGTAGGTGAAGGTATACGCCGGTTACTACACACACACACACGCACACACACACACACACACACACACACACACACACACACACACACACACACACACATATTATGTAGGAATGCAGGCAACTTTCCACAATTTGGTTCAACAAGACCTAAAAAACAGAACGATTTCGATAATTTCTTAGGATAACTTTTACTAAATGTTACGTTAGAATTAGGAAAATTTTAATAATTATTAAAAAGAAATATAGCAAGATTTGGTGCTTTCCTCACACACACACACACACACACACACACACACACACACACACACACACACACACACACACACACACACACACACACACACACAGACACATACACACTTATGTACATGAAAGTCAAGGCCAGATCTGATCGCTGAGGTTAATCTTCCAGAGTAAATAAGCTGCTGGAGTTAATCTTAAAGTAAAATTAAATGGGAAGTTAATCTTCAGGTAAAATAAGCTGGGGAATTCAAATGTCTTCAGGTAAAATAAGCTGGGAATTCAGCTTAAGGTAAAATTAAGCTGTGGGAGTTAATCTTAAGGTAAGTAAGCTGGGAGATTTAATCTTAAGGTAAAATAAGCTGGGGGAGTTAATCTTAAGGTAAAATTAAGCTGGGGAAGTTAATCTTAAGGTAAAATAAGCTGGGGAAGTTAATCTTCAGGTAAAATAAGCTGGGGGAGTTAATCTTAAGGTAAAATAAGCTGGGGGAGTTAATCTTAAGGTAAAATTAAGCTGGGGAAGTTAATCTTCAGGTGATCCTATTAAAACAAATTATTTTCCTATCTCTAACCACGCCAACTAGCCACTATTGTCCCCCTCATGTACAGAGAGAGCAGTAAACTAGTTATGCACTGAACACAGTTAACATATCTTTCAAAAGTTTTTCTATCTTCATTAACAAAGCTGTTACGAGGCATTACCCACATGAATCTGACCTCTATATATATATAGCTGTTAAGGAATATGTTGTATTTCTTTGTGTATGAACCTCTGTCCTGTGTGGCAGTGAGAAGTGATACCACCCTCAGTGTCAAGACCTGACTGAATTACTCAGAATAGGCAAACTGTACTACAAGCTTTGTCAATAAATTTGTTAAACTAAAATTAACAAGGCATCTAATTGCTTGACTTAAGCTGTTTCACAAAAACAGTAAAAAAGGAAAATTATACAACAAATTCACACTGAGACTTTACCTTAACTACGTACGTTCACTTTAAACCGGATAGGAGGTAAATTTAAGTATTGTTTTGGTAAAGATTCACTTATTGTGTAAAGATTCACTTATTGCGTAAAGATTCACTTATTGCGTAAAGATTCACTTATTGCGTAAAGATTCACTTATTGTATAAAGATTCACTTAATTTTGTAAAGATTGACTTTTTTTAAATACATTTAATTTGGGTGCGATGCAATTATCTTTTGGTAAATCCATCTTACGTCTTCAGTTACGAGAAAAAAATCATCTTAGGAACTTGTGTACCTGTGGACTCGCCAGGGAGTCTGACACTACTAGGAAACACATGTATACAGTACCCACTCAAGACCTCGTTCTCAGCTCCAGTAGATGAGAAATACACTATACTTATAAACTATATAGAGCCATTAGAGATGTGTCTGTGTTCATGTTTGTGTGTGTGTATGTCTTCATGTTTGTGTGTATGTGTTCATGTTTGCTGTGTGTATGTGTTCATGTTTGTGTGTGTATGTGTTCATGTTTGTGTGTGTCTGTGTTCATGTTTGTGTGTGTATGTGTTCATGTTTGTGTGTGTCTGTGTTCATGTTTGTGTGTGTATGTCTTCATGTTTGTGTGTGTATGTGTTCATGTTTGTGTGTGTATGTGTTCATGTTTGTGTGTGTATGTCTTCATGTTTGTGTGTGTATGTCTTCATGTTTGTGTGTGTATGTGTTCATGTTTGTGTGTGTATGTGTTCATGTTTGTGTGTGTATGTGTTCATGTTTGTGTGTGTCTGTGTTCATGTTTGTGTGTGTATGTGTTCATGTTTGTGTGTGTATGTGTTCATGTTTGTGTGTGTCTGTGTTCATGTTTGTGTGTGTCTGTGTTCATGTTTGTGTGTGTATGTGTTCATGTTTGTGTGTGTCTGTGTGTTGTGTTATAGCATTAAGCTGGCAACATACTGGCGGTCAGAGGGGGAAAAAAAATGTTCGCCTTGGTATTACATCTAACTTGTATCACCGCAAATTGAGGAAGAACATGCGAACGTTAGTCTGGCGAAGAATATAATAATTCCTGCCATTGAGAACGAAGAAGATGCCAGACGGTGATGGCTATATTATACTAACAGACATACAGACATATATTCTCAAGTCACGATACAGACGTGGTCATCAGTACCCCCCCCAGTGGTCTGTCCTCCGCCTGATATAACACAGTGGTGATGGAGGGCCAGACTGGGGTGTTCATAGTTTCAAGAACACACTCCACACACTCTAACACTCCTAATTGGTACCATGGCAAGCAATTTACGTCTCTGGTTACTCTCGTCTACCCAGTGCTATTTATTCAATTGTTTTGCATTAATCGGGTTTATGAAGGTCATTTATATACTGTGTTTTTATCTCTCAATTTTTTTCTGTCTATAAATACAATATTATAAATGAAGTGTGTGTGGTGTGTGTGTGTGTGTGTGTGTGTGTGTGTGT